GGGGAAGTGAGACAAGAACCTGCCGTCTGCCCAGAGATGGGGCTTCCCGGTGCGGCCCCCACTGATGGCCAAGCCAGGTGCTTCCTTTCTTTGTTTCTTTTGCCTAAAACTAGTGTCTGAGGCCCACTTAACATAACTCTGTCTAGAGAGAGGGTTCTCCTCTTGAATTCTATCTTTGGTAGCAACATATGGTCTGATATTCTTAAATCCAGCAGAAATCTCTGCACACCAGGCACAGGCTGCCCTGGAAATAGAGTCCATGAGGGATGCTTTAATCTGCTGGGGCTTCCATAGCAAAATGTCACACACTGGGTGACTTCACCAAAACGAATTTACTTTCTTACAGTCCTGGATTGGGGAAGTCGCAGATCCAGGTGCTGGCAGGTTCGTTTTCTACTGAGGACTCTCTCCTTGGTCTGCAATGGCCACCTCTTCACTTAGTTCTTCCACAGCCTTTTCTCTGTGTGGACATAGCTTAGTTTTTTTTTTTTTTGGCTTTTCATAGTGACACTAATCCCATTGGATTAGGGCTACACTGTAATGATGTCATTATTGTTAGTTACCATCTTCTAGGCCCTATCTCCACGTATAGTCATACTGGGGATTAGGGTTTTCACATATGAAATTGGAGGGAGCACAATTTCTGTCTATGACAAAGGGTCAGGGCATAACCAGGGACACAGAGTATAGCTGTGTTTGCCCCGGGATACTCAACATCCCAGAGGTCATCGGTCAACACCATTTACTGAACACCTACTATGTGCCAGGTTTGAGTCAGCATCATTAGGTCAGGAAACACTGTGAATAAGACAAGACGGGCCCCTTCGCTCAGGGAGCTGGTAATATCAGAGGGAATTTAGGTATAGAAGGAAAGTATCTCAACACAATGCAAGCCATAGAAGACAAACCCACAAACAGTATTGTCCTAAAAAGCTGATAGCTTTTCCCTTAAGAACAGGAACAAGATAAAGGTGCCCACTCTCCCCACTGCTATTTAACACATTGTTGGAAGTACTAGCCAGAACAATCAGTCAAGAGAAAGCAATAAAGGGCATCCAGATTGGAAAAGACAAATACAAACTGTCCCTGTTTGCAGATGACGTGATCCTATATAAAGAAAAATCTAAAGATTCTAACAAAAAGCAAAGAACCAAAAAAACCTCTCGGAGTTGGTAAATGATTTTAGTTAAGTTGCAGGATACACAATCAACACTCAAAAATCAGTAGCATTTTTGTACTCCAGTAATGAACTAGCAGAAAAAGAATTCAAGAAAGTAAGCCTATGTACAATAGTCACCAAAATAAATAAAGAAATAAATAAAATACCTAAGAATAAATTTAACCAAGGATGTGAAAGATTTCTATTAGTAGAGGTGTCTGTGAGAACCACAAATCACTGCTGAAAGAAATTAAACAGGATGCCACATGATGGAAAGTCTTTCCATGCTCTTGGATTGGAAGAATTAACTTTGTGAAATTGTCCATACTACCTAAACCAATATACAGGTTAGTGTAATCCCCATCAAAATACCAATGGCATTCTTCACGGAAATAGAAAAACTAATCCTGATATACACATGGAACAACAAAAGACCACATAGCCAAAGCTATCCTGAACAATAAACAAACAAACAAATAAATAGAGGAATGCATAATACTACCTGACTTCAAATTGTACAAAGCTACAGTACCCCAAACAGCATGGCAGTGGCATAGAAACAGACACTCATACAGACTGCACAGAATAGAGAACCCAGAAATCCACCCACGTACTTACGGCCAACTGACCTTGGACAAAGGCAACAAGAACATACATTGGGGAAAAGAATTCTTCTTTAATAAATGGAGCAGGGAAACCTGGACACCCATATTTAAAAGAATGGAACTAGACCTACCTCTCCCTAAACACCAAAATCAACTCCAAATAAATTAAGGATTTAAATAAGACCTGTAACTATAAAACTCCTAAAAGAAAACATAGGGAAAACATTTCAGGATGTAGGACTGGGGAAAGACTTTAGACTATGACCCAAAAAGCACAGGCACCAAAATAAACAAATGGGATGTTATCAAACTAAAAAGCTTTTGCACAGCAAAAGAAACAATTAGCAGAGTGAAAAGAAAAGCTACCGAGTGGGAGAAAACATTCAGAAACTATGCATCTAGCAAGGGACTAATATACAAAATACACAAGGAACTCAAACAACTCAACAGTAAAAAACAAGTACCCCGATTCCAAAGAATGGGCCAAGGAGCTCAATAGTCATTTCTCAAAGGAACAGATACAAATGGCCAACACGCGAAAAGATTGTTCACCATCAGTAAGCAGCAGGAAAATGCAAATCAAAGCGACAGTGACATATCATCTCACCCCAGTTAAACTGGCCATTCTTAAAAGGACAGAGAATAACAAATGCTGGTGAGTTTGCAGAGAAACAGGAACACTCCTGTGCTGTTGGTGGGACTGTAAATTAGTGAGGCCATTACAGAAAACAGTATGTAGTTTCCTCAAATGACTTCAGATGGAACTGCCATATGTCCCAACCATCCTGCTGTTGGGTATGTACCCAGACAAGTGGAAATCATCATGTCAAAGTGATACCTGCACTCCCATGTCCTCTGCAGCTCCATTTACAATAGCCAGGATCCAATGTAAATGTCCATGAAGGGATGACTGCGTACGGAGAATGTGGTATACATACTCGAAGGAATACTGCTCTGCCATAAATAAGAACGAAATTCTGCCATTTCTAGTGACATGGAGGAACTTAGGGAAAATGATATCAAGCAACATAAGCCAGGCACAGAAAGAGAAATAACGCACGTCC